TTTAGTTATTTCACGTTAATCATTATAGGTCACCGAATCAGATAGGAATAAGGAAGTAAATAATCAAAGCAATAACTCTGATGTCAGCGATAAAAGTACGGTTTCTGAAAAACGTAAACCCTCTTCTCCTCTCCCAGCACTTCCAAATAAGGTAGTTTAAAGAAATAAAAATAATTTTACATTTAATAAACATTGTATAATTGATAAACTTTGTGTGATGCAGGTTCTGGTAGTATCATCAAGTTCAATGGGAAGTTTTAATCATGGTGCTGCTGATAAATTATCACTTGAAAATGCTATCCATTTATCGCGGATGCCGACAAATTCATTACAACACCAAAATGTCACAATAATACCACTAAATATTAATTGTGAAGAAAATGTTACAGGTTATTGTCTTTAATTATGATATGTTTATGACATAGTATCAACTTTTTTAATTAATCATATCAAATCTAGACTCTGAGGAATCAGCAGTACAAGAAAGTGCCAGTAATCATTCAGTAATTCCTTCTGGTAATTTCGTGAACACAGTGATCCCAGTAGGTACAACAAGTATTACAAAAACTAAGGGAAGAATAATCACAACTCAAAACAAACTTAATACAAAAATTGGACCGGCAATTCTGTTATCTAGTAACGTATCGTGTACATCAGGAAATAATTTGCAGTCCGATATTCAAGTAACATCAGCACAAGATAGTTTAAGTATGAATACATATTTTCACTATGTATAATACATTTCTTAATAATCTTTAATTGTATTCATTTATCATATTTTCAGGCTGTAACGTATCATCTGTTTCTCATGGTGTACAAAAAGGATCGAGTTCAGAAAATTCAAATTCAGTTGCGAGTAATACAAAACGTGTTGTGCCAGTAATACATTCTAATATAAAACCACCAATAGCTAAAACTATTACTTCGAGTACGTACTATCACTATTCAATAACAAATCAATTAAAAAATTGTGCATATTAATTTGCTTTCTTACAAAAATGTTTTTAGGTAATTCACATCGACTAATGGCCGTATGTCCTGTTACAACAGTATCCAATGGACCAGGGCCACCTCAAGCTAAGCAAATAACAACGCTAACTTGTAAAAAATTACCTACAACGCTCAAGAATCAAACCACTGCCAAAATGGTATGACCGTTTAGAAAAAACGAATGTATAACTGCACAAGTTATGAAAACATTCGAATTTAATATAAAAAATTATATATTTAAAATGTTTCAGGGTGTAACACTAAATTCTAATAAAACTGTAAATATATCTCATCATCCTGATGCAAAGTTAGGATCTAAAACAAACGTAATTGTTATACAAAAGGGTCAAACCAAAGGTGTAACTCTTTCTCATGCGGGCAAGGTACAGTGATATTTAATCTGTAGAACAATAATAATACTGTTCCATATTTTAAATATAAAAACTATGCAATCTTACGCACTTTAGGAAGTATTAGGGAAAGTAATAATGGGTGGAAAAAGTTTATGTGTTACGAGTCAACACAATGCCTCTATAAGTGTGCTACCGCGCCATATTACACTCAACAATGGAGATCAAGCTGTAACTATGTTATCTACAACAAACTCATCTCACACAGAATCTATAACATCCAATATTAAGGTAATGTCTATATTATGTTTATTTATAATTTTTTAATATAAT